ACCATTGTTTTTCTCTATCCAAATGCTTGTAGCCCTGTAGGAGTACTACCTTCTTCCGAGCATTGATGGCTTCAAGCTTGTTCTGTCTGAATGAAGGTGACGATGAGCCGGGTCATCTTCAGGACAGAATAGTCCGTGCCATCATCAGCTTACAACGACCAACAATAAGCTGCTATGGAGTAGATCTCTTCCTTTCGTTCGTGTTCCATCACACACACACACACACACACACACAAAACGGAGTAGGTCCAATCTTATCTTCCTTCAAAACGGGTAAGCAATGAGGCATTAGCGATGCCAGTTTCGGCGGATATGAATGAAGATGCTGGAAATCTTGGCGACGCAGGATATGGGGCACCAGCCACCAGGCACCAGCAGTACCTAGTGGTGCACCAGCTTTGCCAACCATTTGTGGGTCATTTCATGCGTTTCTGGCCCTGCTCCAAGAACTGCTTTTCCCTGATCTTCATGCAATGAGTGTGCATGCATGTCTTGGTACAACTCGAGTAATATAATCTTTGCATTGACGAGATCTACTTCTTTAGATTTCGCCTTTATGAAGTTTTTTTTTTCTGTCTTTGTTTGCCAATAATTTAGCTCTTCTGGGTCCTAGCTAGACAAGAGGGGTTCCAATAGGGTTTTGTGATGTCTAAGCTTAAGCCTGTTCAGAAACGGGATTGCCGCCCGTGAATTTCAAGAAGTGATCTGGATCAAAAAGTCCCAGCTACTACCTGAGACCAAAGTCCGGCAATTGCAGTTGCCTAAATTCCACACAGTGCCGAATTGTTGTTCATCTGAAGCATTGTACTCCTACATGTACTACGGGAGCCGGGGACCACGGTTTGCCCCACCCCCCGATATCGTCAATCAGTACCGGCAGAACACAACGACAAGCATGTAAGGAACTAGTCTTATGCCGGCAGAAAGTTTAAGGTGAAACATTCCGCTACAGAATGTTACAGCAGTAAAGTGTGCATCGCAAGGGACAAAGCTGAGGAGACTAAACAAAACGATCAGCATTCTATTAACAACTCTTAGTATTACGTTTCTCCTCTGCAGAGAGTGACGATTACTGTGGGCTCACATGTTGCACGAGAATTGGCTGCATTAGTGGAACGATCAGGACTAATGGCCGCATGCATTGACACGCATCACGGCTGGCTGGCTAGAGATTCAGAAGTCGTCTGGCAAATGTGGCCCTTGGCCTCTCACAGGACCTAAATTCCTCTGACAGATAAATAAGTATCCCCAACCACTGCCCATCATTGGCCCCAGCAGTTCGTTGCTACGCATTTTCCAATTTGTTTTCGTGCAAGCTGGTTGGCAGGGATCAAAGACGATGGGGCCGCGACAAGCAACGGGGCATGCAGAGACAAGGCAGCCCAGCTTGCATTGGCAGGATGGCACGCAAGCGTGGCAAACGGGCAACGAACGAGCGGCCAGCCGAGCCGGCGACAGAATGATCGTGCGCTGCATCGCAATCGCTGGCACTTTCCGCTTGCCTATGCGAGAGGGCCGGCCGGGCGAGCGATGCGAGCGCGCACGCGGATCATACGTGCTCCGGGAGCCGGGACCCCGGCCCCAATCCGTTACCACTTCTTGTTTTCGTCAGGGGACACGAACTCTAGCTAATCTGGTGATGGATTAAGATCGGAGAAGAAAAGAGAGGTGGAATGACCTGTTTAGCTGAGAGCTGACGGTGCCCTGGCGCCCTCCTCCTCTGCCGCTGGCTCTGGCCGTGCCCAATTCGCGGGGCGCACAGCGGGAGCGGGCGATTTTTGGGGTGTAAACCGGTAAAGCGGGGGGATTCCGGCCGATTAGTCGCGTTCGCGGGCGCGTGGGAACTGCCAAGAAAAAAAAAATAGACGAACCACTTTTATGGCGGTTATGGGTTACTCCGTATATCATATATCACTAGATATCGTGCCCCTGCGTTGCACGGGGTTTATGAATTTTTGGGCATATATGAATTTACAAATGTGCTTAAAAAATGGATTGTAATTTTCTATCAACTTTTGTCATCAGCTAATCCTTACACTCACCTATTTTATGACTGTTTGCCTGGCACACGCAAAGTCTTGCAAAGGTTAAGTACCCAGTGTGCCCTCTAGCACTGCTGCATGTCCTAACCACAATGAAGGAAATCCTTTTGTGGGCAGTCTGTGTTTTCATCTGGGGTTCTGAACATTCTTCTTTTCTGCGGAAGAGGCTGCACACATGCCTTAACGCACGGTGATACTCTTCAGAGCAATGTTTTCATGGTTTCACAAGCACGCTGCACTTACTCAATACAAGGCGAAAAGGAGCACAGAACACCGTCTTTCTTTAGCATCAACCCAACAGATGGTGTTGCAAGCCAAGGCTGGGGCAACTCCAGGAAGACAGCATCAGCACCACCACAATGCACAATACTCCTCTAGGAACCCTTCCCCTTGTGCATCCCCACATACTGTGATGAGGCTGCTCAAGCCAGTCTTCTCAAAGTCTTCCCTTGCTGAGGCGGCCCTCTGCTTGTGGAAATCGAAGGTGTGGACGCGGCCATGCGGCGCGACGGCGCGTGCCAGCGAAGTGGTGAGCGATCCGCTGTCTGTACCGGACTCGAGAACAACGCAACCGGGTACAAGCTCGAGGTAGGCCACGACGAAGCTGATGTCAGGAATGTAAAGGATCTGGGTCCGGTGGCTGAGCACCAGAGTCCAGAGCTCCGGGTCGGCGCCAGGAGGTGCACGAACCCACTGCCTGTCTTGCCTCCGCAACCTGTGCCGAATATCTTGGATCCGAAGGGACGGCCGATCCAGTCCGAGGGGTCGAGGGGGACCATCATGGTTGTGGAAGGATCACGGGCTCACGGCGACCGGGCGGGGAGACGGAGACAGGAATAGTTGCGGCCTCCGCTTCGGCTTAAATCTCGACTGCACTGCACCAGCCCTGGAGCTCAGAGCTCGGCAAGCAGCTAGAAGGGCCGGCCACCTACGGCGCGCGTGCGAGGCGAGCGGCGGTAGGCGGCTCCTGGCGCGCCTGTGATGCGAACGGCATCCACCAACCCGTGGGCTTGGTGATCCGTCCCCGACGCAGTCTCCGCTTCTGTTTCCAGGGTCGCGAGCCCGAGCGAGGCGATACAACGTACTCCTACGTGGAGACTGATTGTATCAGACTCGGAGAGACGGAGACGGAGACGCACATCGGACTCGGAGGCGCGCACACGGAGTGAGTTTGACGACACCTCTCCGTACTTTTTAGGTGTAACAACAGATAATAATGAATTGAATTTGAAAGGTCTGAGCGCTGGGCTCACCGGGCGTAAATCTCAGACTTGTTTATTGGGCTTCATATATGTGGGGGCTCGCTGGAAAGAGCTGGTTAGGTTGGCCATTGTGCGTTTTCTCTTCCTCTTTATGCATAGGGGAAAAATCATTTAGCTCTATGAACCATCGTTCTAGTATGATTTTTCTGCTTAATAAACTTTAAAATTTGACATGTTATTTCCTGAACTCCTGAATCTAAGTAAAAATATTAAAAGCTCGTGCAAATATATCTAGAAGCTCAAAACAATTAGATTTAAATCTAGCAAAATCAAAAGAAGTATCTAGAAAACTTCCAAAACTTTCTAATCAATGTCTAAACGTGTTTAGAAACTTTTCACCATGAACATATGCAACCGGCATGAATGCAACTAGCATTCATACTATACATTCGTGTTGGTTGTTTCTTATCTTTGGCCTTGTTCTGCTGCACTACTTCAGCAATATTTTTCAGCGAACGAACAATATTTTCTTCTCACAATAAATTAGCATAAGCCAAATTTTAGCGAAACGAACAAGGCCTTTTTTGTTGTGGAAAGTTTTCAAAACATGCTTAGACATCGATTAGAATGTTTTGGGATTTTTTTGTGTCTTTGGATATTTTGTACATTTTTTGAGAGCTAAATCTAATTCGTAAAAGTTTTTAAAAATATTTTTACAAGCTCTAAATATTTTATTTGGATTGTTAGTGTCCCAGCCTATCTCTAGAATTTTGTTTCCAAAATTTTAGAACCTTAGAGATATTTTTATGGTTTAACAACCTTATTAAGTATTTATCAATTTTTTTTTACTAAGAAAAAAAAACAAACGTCTTCAAAACCCACTTCAAACGTGTAGATAGGTAATTTGAAGGGTTTTGAAAGTTCAGAGAGTAAGATCTCTGGTTTTGGAGTTCGATGCGATGATAATCTAGACATAAAATATACCATTTTTCCTTACGAACACGGTGTAATCACCGAATAAATATCTAAGCCTCTTGTAGCTATATGAGTTAGACTAGCATGTGTCTACACACAATATTGAGTTCGATCCTAAGATGAATGAAACCCATGACGTGATTGTTAAATGAATCTTTGAGCCATAAATCATCTAGATAACTATGAAATAAATTTTACTTCCGTTATGCACAGACATCTATATCTATCTATATCTCTTAGAATCCTAAACCCCACTAGAATATTATATTAACATGCAAGATGTCCACCTCAACAATCCATTATCACTTGTAATTAAAGTTTACTAGCACAAGCAATTATGATATCTACGTCGGTTAGACACATCCACCAATATAACGTACATTTAGTTATCCACATCATGATGTCACGCTATCCACTAACATTAGTTTATAATAGCTAAACCCTTCATAAGAATTACATGAATAGTTTAATTTCATTCTAAATCTGTATCAGTAGCAACGCGCGGGGTCCTTCTCGTATTTGTTATTAGGACGAAGAAGAAAAGGGACTTTTTCTGCTTTGGAAAGAAGTGTCGGTACAGTGGTTCTATTGGGCCGGAAATATCACTCCTATTGGACCATCGCGTGTTGTTCGTGCGGTATGGACCAATTGGGTTGCTGCTTCCACTCCAAAAAAAAAAAAAAAAAAAAATTGGCTGCTTCGCTGCCTTACACGTTGGGCTTTCCCAAAGCCCAAATAGCCCAGTCCCCATACATCGCACGATTCCGGGCGGCGTGGCGCCATGCTGGCCACCCACATCATCCTTCTCCAGTTCTCCTCCGCCTCCGCGTTTGACTCTGCTCCGAGCCTAGGCAAAGCTGCAAAATCTAGAGTGAGTGAAATGGCGAGCGTGGCCTCATCGAGGTGTTCCGGCCTTCTCTCGCCGAGCCTCGCCGAAGTCCGATGCTGCTCCCGTCCGTCCTCTTCGCTCCGCCTGCGGCCGCGGTGGGGCCTGCGCCAGCCAAGGACCCTCGCCTTCGTCGCGCCGCCCGACTCCGCGGAGCCAGAGACGGTGCGTTTTCAATTTTCATAGCACATCAAAGATTGTGTACCTGAAGTTCTCGTATTTTTATTTCCTTGCATGCGAAATGAACCCGTGGAGATTATTATTCTTCAGAGTAATCCGAGCAAAATCATAGTCTGCTAGAACTCCTAACCTATGTAGATGGTAGAAGGCACAAACAAGTTGCTGGAATTTTGCAGTCTTGAGTCAATACTACTCTTGCTAGGTTATATGCCAATCACCCAAATGAGAAGGGTGGAGTGACGTGGTTTTTTCCTTTCATAGGATGAGCAAGCTGTGAAAGCTGAGTCTACCGAAGAAGAGGCTCGGACTAGTACACTCCAGGATGCTGGGCTTCCAGCTCTCCCAAATAAGGATCTCAACAGAAGGGTAGCACTACTGTCTACTCTTGGGGCGGTGGCTCTCTTTGCATCCCAGAGGCTCAATCTTAGCGAGGCGTCTCTTAAAGATCTTGCAGCTAATGCGGTGCCATATGAAGAGGTCAGCATTTCTGTCCTTGATGTGGATTGTGTGCCTGGTGAAAATACTAGAGTTGATATACTTGAACTATACTATGCTTTGTGTTTATTTAGTTAATTGGTTGGTTTCCAAAAACAAAAATAATTGGCTGGTATTTACAAACTGTATCATTGGTTTCTTCTTTTTTCGCTGACCTGTTATTGAATCCACGCATCTTTGGTTTCTTCAGGTTGTATTGATATTCTTTGCTTAATACACGATTAATCTAGCTCCTGTCATGATGTTACTAACATTCTTCAGATTAATCTGTTCCATTCTGTTCACTATGTTGAATTGACTTTGACCAAAAACCCTGTTAAGCTGGAATCACATTGTTTTGTAGATGTTTTTCTTCACCATAAATGCTTACGAAACTTAACCTGATAAATTCATATGCAGGCTCTTTCAAATGGCAAGCCCACTGTTGTTGAGTTTTATGCAGACTGGTGCGAAGTCTGCAGAGAATTAGCTCCAGATATATACAAAGTTGAACAACAATACAAGTACACCACTTTTCACATTTCTGAACTTTAAACCTTGATTGGGAATAACAACTGTGGTTCATTTCATAGAATCAATGCCTGTCCATGCTTTATTGTGTTGCCTATCCTATTAACCACACTCGATTGGACCTTGTTATGGGTGTGACAGCCGGGATACAAGCTGCACGGCTGGCACGGCCAGCCACCATCAGTTAAGGCCTTAAGCAAGTTAGATAAGATAGGATTATTGTCAGTTTGTTAGATCTATTGTTAGGAAGTTATGTGTTCGTTTTGTGCAAGGTATGGCTATGAAGGCTGATCACTTACTGTTTCATGCAATCAATCAAACAAGCAAGCAAGAAGAATTAATCCAAGTCTCCCCAAGAGTCATAACCACCAGCTAGCAGCTGATGCTGTCCAGCTGTGTCCTGGTGGTGTTTATCCCTTATGATCCTATAGGATAAGAACAAACCTTATAGCTGGACTGCTATATATGGAAATTAGTTCTGTGTGGATAGGTTTTCCTCACTTGATCATTCAAAGCATACACAATCACATAGCTTAATTATTGTAATTTCTTCTTATAATTAAACTGGATAAACGGCAAGTATAGAAGTTCTGTTTACAAAGTGTTTCACACTTTCGCCAAGTTTCCATGTTCAATGGCGCAATGATTATATCCAACATCAAAACACAATTATTGACCAAGATCATCTTTGAATTTGCTGTCTTTATTTGTCGGATTCTCACCAAAGCTATTTACACATCTCGAGCGTTCTTTCCAGGGACCGTGTCAATTTTGTAATGCTGAATGTTGACAATACAAAGTGGGAACAAGAGCTTGATGAGTTCGGGGTGGAAGGCATTCCTCACTTTGCCTTTCTGGATAAGGAAGGAAATGAGGAAGGCAATGTTGTTGGGAGACTTCCAAAACAGTATTTTCTTGACAACGTGGTTGCACTTGCTTCTGGTGATCCCAATATACCTCATGCACGAGTGGTCGGTCAGTTCTCGAGTGCTGAATCTAGGAAAGTTCATCAAGTTCCTGATCCCAGAAGTCATGGCTAGTAGTTGTTTTCTATGTGGGCAGCAGTAATTCTAGTTTTAATGTCAGGACCAATTGACAAGTAAGCCTTTCTTTCTGTTAATCTCGTACAAGTCATTATGTACGTCTGTTATGCATTTTTTTTTGAAATAAAATAGCTCAGTTAGTTTTAAAAAATGCCTCGGACGTGTACTTTTTCAGGCCTGTTTAAGATTTTATATCTTTAACAAGATACTATAGTAGGTTACCACAAGTTTACAAGCTGTGGATTTCTTTTGCACATTGAAATGGCTTCCTGCCAGCCAAAAAAAAAAACATTGGACCTTTTGTGACCTATACCACAAGTTTTTGAACCAAGCTATGAAGCTAATTTAAAATTGCCTTAATATAAAAGAAATGAATCACAGCAAGTGGAATTGACACTTCATGATTGTGATCTATACCAATTTTGACAACTTACAATCGTGTTTTTGCAGGAGGAGATGCTAGGCTATACTATAATGTAGTAGTATTCAGTATCGGTATCGAACATGGGGGCGCTGGAAAGAGGTGGTACATTCCAAAAAAATCACAGAAGACAATCATCTTTGGGATGGTGATATGCTGTGCATGTGCCTGTGGATTCGGGGTCCATCTTCGGCGCGGGTTTGTCAGTGATACTGAAACGGTTGCATGTTGTACGGCAAATGCAGAAATACTGTTGTATGTTTTAAAAACAGTAGGGGTGAGTGGATCATGAAAGAAGCTTGCTTTTCTCCTTGCTTTTATTCGTTGCTCGTGTAACACATGCCAGCCAGCCTTGAACACCAGGTCATCTCCTTTTGTGTAATCAGGTTGTCTGCCACTCCGTTGCCCGGCGACCTTTTTGCGTACTTTTTTTTATAATAAGGAAGAAAGAATTATTATTGATTCACAATCATTGATCGAGTTGGTAAAATAGTTGTGAGCTCATTTCCAACATCCATAAATATACACAGTCCAAACAAAAGAAAAAAAAAATCCTGCTGTTCTAATGATTGTCAATTATAAGGCCAGATCGTCGCTATATGTCGAGGAGAAGAACATCCTGACCATTTGCGTTTTTTTAATAGCTGATGATTGAGCACCGTCCCACGAGAGAAAATTATAGAAGGTTTTACCTGTCATTAAAATTTTTTATAATTGTCTATAAACCATTAAAAAGTTCGAGCTTTCATAAGTGTCATTGTTCTAAACTCTTTTGCCATGCAGCCTGTTCGCTTGTTGGTTTCCACCAGGGTTTATCAGCCAGTCAATAGTGTTTTTCTCTCACAACAAACCAACATCAATCGGGCTTACCAGCCCAGGCTCTTGCAAGCCATTTCATCCACGTTCAGTCTGTTTTTCACCGTTTAGAAGATCTCGCACGTGGGTCATGCCAGTGAAAATATCCAAAATGCCCCCTCTGACCTTATCCTCTGTCGCGCTCACACGCACGGGGGGGCGAGGTGAGCTCGCACGCGCGCCGTTCGCGATGGCCAGGCGAGAGCTCGCCCGAGCGGTGGTGGTGGCGCTGCGGATGGTGGAGCGGGAGATGGAGGCCGCAGCGCTCCTTCGGGGACCGCCCGCGGTGGTGGCCGCGCTGCTCCTCAGCGTGGACCTTGCGCCCCACCTCCACGTCGCCAACGCGCTCGTCGACGCCTACGCCAAGCTGCCTCGAGCGGGTGCCGCCGCGCGGGCCGTGTTCGACGAAATGGCGCACCGGGACGTCGTCACCTGGCCCGTGTACGGCGGCAAGGGTGCGGGCACCCTCATGGTGGAGTCGGAGGTCGGCGTGAAGGACGACCTCATGGAGCCGATTTCCGAGCATGCACAAGTACGTCTCCATGCGTGACATCTGCGGGGAGACCGAGCCGCAAGAGTCTGCGGGGAGCAATAGCTCTGCCGGCAACGCCTGGACGTGCTCGTGGGAGCCCAATTCTGTCGACTCCACCGATCGGACCCGGACGGCCTCGCAGTCGTACAAAGATGACGAGGTGGAGCAGTCATGGCAGAGCAAGCAGAAAACGTCGTCATATCCTTGGAGCCCAGCCACCGTGGTTCTACAAGGAATGCTCCGGTCCAGCGCGTGCGCGACTGCGCGGTGCTCACCGCCTCAGCGGCAGCAGCAGTGTTGTCATCGGCCAGTCCGATGTTCGCTTTGTCTCGGCGAGTTCGTCGATCGCTTAACGATGCAACTGGAGGTTTTAGAGCCATGCTCCAGTTGGTCATGGTAGTTCCTTGTTCTCAAGTTGTAATGGCAAGATAGGTTGCTGTTTCAGACCAGTGTTTAGGCGTTTGAATTCTTTGCTTAGGGCGTGTTTAGTTGGCAAAATTTTTTAGTTTTGGCTACTGTAGCACTTTCGTTTGTATTTGGTAATTAGTGTCTAATTATGGACTAATTAGATTTGAAAGTTTCGTCTCGCGATGTCTCATCCAATTGTGTAATTAGTTTTTTTTCGTCTATATTTAGTACTCCATGCATGTGCTGCAAGATTCGATGTAATATTTTGGAGTGAAAATTTTTGGGAACTAAACAGGGCTTAGTTGGATGATATACATTGTTCAGATGTAATCAGGCAACGACATTGGCAATGTATACACTTTCGTTCACCTGTTAATGCTTAGCGTTCGGCTAATATTCAGAGTATATTGCTTCGGCTAATATTCAGAGTATATTGCTTCCAATAGTACTTCCGTGTTGTTTGGCTCCTTGCATAGTAACGCAAACGTAAAGGGATGTAGTTCAAATTTGTCTCCCGCCAGTAACGAAAGTAGCTTTGTTTCATTTTCGTTTGCGTTACCTCACAACCAAACAGCACGTTCGTTTTAGTTTTGTTTATGGGGCAACATATTTTGTTTTGCAATTGGATTTGTCTTTTCCCACTAGCAATTCTTTCTTGAAATCGTATATGTGATTAGTTGTCATGAAAAGATTGGCAGACTTCTTTTTTAATTTTGGCGATATATATAAATCGTATATGTGATTTAGCTAAGAAAGATGAAAGGCCCCGAAGCTTTACTGGGCTTTTTCACTTGAAACCATTTTTAATGAAAACAAAATCGTACACAGAACCAGCGAGTGGCACCGGAGGAAAACACAATTTTCAGCAAGGTACTCTTGCTTAAGGGCAGCTCTGTCTTTTTCCACCTCTGTTAGCCACCGTTGCCGTTGCATGTGGACAGAATGGCTTATAAGATAAAAGAGTTCAGAACAGTAACAGCTATGAGAACTCAAACTTTTTAATGGCTTGTAGACAACTGTAAACTTTTTTAATGACATACAAATAAAACACTTAAAATTATATTGCAGGCAGTTTGCACTCTGCAGCCATATACGTACTCTGGCAGGCCGATTCGCCGATCTGACTTTCCATGTGGATGTAGGACGACGAAACGGGCCGCCGGAACAGATGGCTGCGGAGTAGGAGTATGTACGTATTACGATTATTCTATAGGCAAAGTCGCGGCTCGGTGCGATCGAGACTCCAGAAGGCACAGGGAACGAACGACTCCACGTTCCTGTTGGAACGTTGACCGCGCGGTCAAGTCAGCCACCGGATCGGAGCCGCGGTGCGAAAGAGCGCCCGCGGCGACGGCGTGGTCACTGGTCAGAGTCAAACCGGAGCAGGAGGGTGTGATCTCGCTGCGGACTGAGTCGAGGCACTTCTCCGGCCAAATGGGGGACCCCGGGACGCGGAGAGAGCAGAGCAGGTGGAAAGGAGGAAAGACCAAGGCCGGCAGTGCGCCGACCCGGGCGCGTGGACGGTGGCGGTGGCGCATCTCCGGTTCCCCACGGGGAAGAAGAAAAGTCATAGGAACGCGTCGTGCGTGCCCACTCGCCCCTGCAGAGCGAGCTAGGAATGGGGAGCCCAGCCTACTCTGACAGACAGGAGCCCACCCGCCGGGAGCGTTGCTTTCAGTCAAGTCCCCAGGCACAGAGCGGTGTTTCCAATCATCTAAGGCAGCGTTTGGTTGACACACAACGTAGGGTGGGATGATCATGTCTCTGTTTTGTGGGACGGAACAAGTCCATTTTTTGTTTAGTTAAGGAAGAATGGGACCGATCCATTTTTTGTTTGGTTGAGAGACAATAAAAGTGGGATGAGCTACTGACATATGGAGCCCACTTGTCAGTTTTTTCTTTTTCTTTCTTCTCCCTTATCTCCATCGTCCCCAACCGTAGAGACAGAGGTCGCGTGAGGGACGGAGCTCCTGCCTCCTAGCGCTCAGCCCGCCGCGCGCAGCACTTCGCGCCGCTGCCACCGCCTCCCGGGCCCGAGCCTCGCGCCGCCGCCCTCCGGTGACCGGATCCCTCACCCGTGGCCCTCTTCTTCAGCACCGGTGGCCGCTCCCGTGGAAACCCTCGACCTCTTCTTGACACCCGGTAGGCAGTAACTCTTCACCGGCCTGGCTGGGCGGAGCTCGGGCAGCCCTTGGCATGGGCGGCCGAGGCTGGCGCGGCCGGACCTTGCCCTCTCTCTCTTCTTCCTTCCCCGGCCCGTGGCGCCTCGTCCCACTTGGGACGGCCCCCGTCCGAGAAATCTGAGGGGACGGAGTGAACCCGAATCTCATGCGAATATTCCCGAGTGGGACGTCCTCACTCCCGGGAGACTCCCAACCAAACATCAGTCGTCCTAGGACCATCCCGTTCCATCCCACCTCGGCCCTCCATCCAAACACAGCCTAAGGCGTTACAATCATGGGTCATGGGCGGCTTCTTATCATTGGGCCCAGTGACTGGCAGAAAGCCGGAGTACAGACGGTGATCAGCGGAGGTGCACGTGCAAAAATGTCATCGCTCGTCGGCCAGACAACGGCATGTCGAGGCTTGAAATGCTCTGCCACTGGATCGCCGCAGCCTTACTGTAGCAAAACCGTCTAATTTATATAAGATCAAATACGGCTGTCTTCGTTTAACATGTTGACGCGCGCATATTTTTACTTATATAAATCCGGTAGTCCGCCAAGTGTCACAAATGACCTCAGTAAATCAACATCTTAACCAAGATCGCATGATTAAGTAAATACACATCACATACACAGAGTTGCAGCAGAAATAATATTACAAATGGTTTTACAAATAATAGAACAAGTTTGGGTTTTAAAACCGGTTAAACGAAAACAACATAGCTTTCAAATGATTACATTAATATAAGTTCTAAATACATTGCTAGCATAAGTGACATCCTCTGTTAAGAGCATATAGATGAGAAATAAATATAGAGTCATCGAGCCCACCGGCGGTTAGCCACCATCTTCCTCAGGCTGAGAATTTCACCTGCAGCATGGTGAGATAAACCCTGAGTACTCGAATGTACTCAGCTAGACTTACCCGTCATAAACCAAAAATAAAGTGACTACAAGGATCATGCAAGGCTTTCTAAGTAGAGCTAGCTTGACAACATTTTGTATAAAAAGCCACTAATTCAACTATACCTTTTATAATTCGGTCATCAAGTTAATTATAACTATTTATCTCTAGATTTGCAACTAACATGTGCTAAACATGTGGTATATCATTTAGTAGCATAACAATAATAACCATAGCCGGTGTAGTAATTCCATGTTCTTCATAACCATCATTCCATAATACACTTACTACGATGCTGGAGCTAGCCAAGTTTCTCACTGTCCGGGAGAGACGACGATTCGAATCGATTTCAACCAGCTGAGAATTTATTCCTAACACAAACCAATGCAGACCAGATCAATGGTAACCTTAGGTCATCTTTGGTATAACTCAGGTCCACATTTTGCGGGTTCGATCAGTGCCACACAATAAGTCCATATGCATGCAGTCGCATGTGCATGTGCATGTGCATGCATGCATGCCTGCTGGAAACAGATGCTCATTATTGCAGCGAAGTGAGTACTCCCTCCTCGGTATTAAAAATAAAATTGTTTTGGACAAGGCTTGATCTGGGAATATAAATCATGAATAACTTTTAAGTTGTTGAGTTTAGAAATGTGAAAGCCATATAAATAGATTTGTCTTGAAAAATACTTTCATAAAACTATACATATATCACTTTTTGATAAATATTTTTATAAAAACAAGGAGTCAAAGTAATACTTTGGAGACCGTATCGCTGTCCAAAATAACTTTATTTTTGAGTATAGAGGAAGTAGTTGAGACTGCTGGCATTAATGAGCTTCTTGCACCCAGCAATTGCAATAGACTGAAGTGTCTGTTGCACCTAGATATAGATAATTTTTTACCCATACAATGATGGTAAAAGGGACAAATTTGTTTGTAGCTTAAAAAAACTAATTGAATAAAATATGTCGTAAGTCACCCGCAGCGAAGCACGGACAGGACAAATTTGTTCGTATAAATAAAAAAGAAATTCGAACAAAATATGTCGTAAGTACCTCACCCGTGGCGAAGCGCGGGCACAAATGGCTAGTAAACCTATTAAAGTAGGGAGAATTATGTATTTGACACTGAAACAAATCAGTCTTCCGCATTTGGCATTAAAAAATTTGAACTTTCTTATTTGGCAACAAGTTGAAATTTTCTTCCCTAGATAGCACTGCCATCCATTTGGGCTAGTAACGGCGTCAAGTGGCTGGTAAAATGACATGAATGCCCTTCTTTGCAGCGCGGGGCAGGTGACGAAGAGGTGGTAGCCGCCGGAGACCCAGCTGCCGACCTTCCACTTGACGTGGCCCTCCACCTTGACGTGGAGCAGCACGTAGCCCGCCACGATGTCCTGCTTCATGGCGTCCGCCACATACTGCGCCACGGGCACGGCGTCGCCCGACATCACGGGGGACCACACCGACACGTCCTTGTGGCCCTGGTAGATCGACGGCATCGACACCGGCACCGTCACCGGCTCCGGCTCATCGCAGTACGTCGTGAACGCGTCCAGCGTCTTGTACACGCCCACACGGTCGTTCGGGTTCCGCGACGCGATCGTCACCTGCTCGTCGTCGTGGTGTCGGACGGCAGGTACCGTGCGTTAGTTCGTCCTCCGGCCGTCACGAAATCGGCCGGGGGTGGCCAAATGCATGCATCAGCCTAGCTAGCTAACACGCTGTGCTTACCTGGAGGTCAAGGGAGAGCGCCGGGTCGCTGAGGTCGATGGACCGGAGCTGCACGTCCTGGAGGTAGAAGGACGGCTTGGAGGGGTGCAGCGCCAGGTAGATGACGAGCACGATGAAGCCGACCACGACGAAGAGCGTGAGGATGCAGGCAGCGATGGCGCCGCAGCAGCGGCGGAGGATCCAGTCGCGGTGGTGCTTCTCCTTGCTCATGGCGAGACGAGACCGACGACCTGCTATCCTGCTACGGTGCTGGGCTAGGACTGGGAGCTCAGCTGGCTGGCTGCCTTGCTACTAGCGAGCTTACGACTGTGCGCGCATGTGGTCGGAGAGGAGACGAGCTGCGTGATAAGCAGAAGGGCATTTTGGTCCTTCTCAAAGAAAAGTAACACGGTCAATATAGTCAACTAACGAAATTTTGCCCTAAATGAACGGCAGTGCTTTTTAGAGAAGAAAATTTCAACTCGATGCTAGATAAAAAAAGTTTAAAATTTTTAGTGCTACGAAAGACAGATTTGTTTTAATTCCGAATAGATAATTCTCTCGTTAAAGTATTCCACGTTCTGCAGACCATTTCGCCACGTGCCTTGGTGCCGCCCGGGAGGTCCCAGGTGACCGTGAAGGCGCCCAGGATCACGAATCCATAACGCGCCACCAGCCCACCACCGGCTGGCCGCACTTCACTACCGGATCACCGCCGGAAATGGCACACGTTTCTCACCCTGACGCGCTCAGCCGACGGACAACTGCCTTCTTCCCCCCTCCTCCCAAGTCCCAACCCTTTTAAAACGCACACCCAAGGCTCAGTACTGAGCACTGACACGCTCGCCTTATTATAACCACATCAGCTGGCGCCACTCTACACGGCACTCGCTGTCTGTAGTTGTAGCACCGCACCAGTCTTCGCCGCCGGTCCGCGAGCAGATCAAGAAATGGCCACGGCGACTTACCTCTTCTCCACCTTGGCGCCGCCGACGTCGTGCGGCCGCCTGCGGCGTCAGACGACCAGGGCGACCGCGTCGGCGACGGACCGTCCTCGCGAGGTGGTGTCCCCGAAGCGCCGGCTCCCGCTGCGGAAGGTGCCGGGTGACTACGGCCCTCCGGTGCTGGGCGCGATCCGCGACCGGTTCGAGTACTTCTACGGGCCCGGCGGCCGGGACGGGTTCTTCACCTCCCGCGTGCGCGCGCACGGCTCCACCGTGGTGCGGCTCAACATGCCGCCGGGCCCCTTCGTGGCGCGCGACCCGCGCGTGGTGGCACTCCTCGACGCCGCCTCCTTCCCGGTGCTCTTCGACACCTCACTCGTCGACAAGACGGACCTATTCACGGGCACCTTCATGCCCTCCACCGACCTCACCGGCGGCTACCGCGTGCTCTCGTACCTCGACCCCAGCGAGCCCAACCACGGGCCGCTCAAGACGCTCCTCTTCTACCTCCTGTCGCACCGTCGGCATCACGTGCTCCCCAAGTTCCGCGAGGTGTACGGCGACCTCTTCGGGCACATGGAGAACGAGCTGGCCAGGGTCGGCAAGGCCGACTTCGGCCACTACAACGACCCCGCCGCCTTCTCCTTCCTCTGCCAGGCGCTGCTGGGGCGCGACCCCGCCGAGTCGGCGCTCCAGGGCGACGGGCCCAAGCTGATCACCAAGTGGGTGCTGTTCCAGCTCAGCCCGCTGCTCAGCCTGGGCCTGCCCAAGCACGTCGAGGACTCCCTGCTCCACTCGTTCCGCCTCCCGCCGGCGCTGGTCAAGAAGGACTACGACCGGCTGGCCGACTTCTTCCGCGACGCGGCCAGGGGCGTGGTCGACGAGGGCGAGCGCCTCGGCATTGCGCGGGAGGAGGCGGTGCACAACATCCTCTTCGCCATGTGCTTCAACTCCTTCGGCGGCATGAAGATCCTGTTCCCGTCGCTCGTCAAGTGGCTGGGCCGCGCCGGCGCGCGCACGCACGGTCGGCTGGCAACGGAGGTGCGCGACGCCGTGCGCGCGCACGGCGGCGAGGTGACCATGAAGGCGCTGGCGGAGATGCCGCTGGTGAAGTCGGCCGTGTACGAGGCGCTGCGGATCGAGCCCCCCGTGGCGATGCAGTACGGGCGCGCCAAGCGGGACATGGTGGTGGAGAGCCACGACTACGGCTTCGAGGTGCGCGAGGGGGAGATGCTCTTCGGCTACCAGCCCATGGCCACCAAGGACCCGCGCGTCTTCGCGCGCGCCGAGGAGTACGTGCCCGACAGGTTCCTCGGGGAGGATGGCGCGCAGCTGCTTCGCCACGTCGTCTGGTCCAACGGGCCCGAGACGGCGTCGCCCACGCTGCAGGACAAGCAGTGCGCCGGCAAGGACTTCGTCGTGCTCATCGCGCGCCTCCTCGTCGCCGAGCTCTTCCTCCGCTACGACTCCTTCGACGTCCAGGTCGGCGCCTCCGCGCTGGGGTCGTCGGTGACCATCACCTCGCTCAAGAAAGCCACCTTCTGAGCTCTGAATCTCTGATCACCTCGCTCAAGAAAGCCACCTTCTGAGCTCTGAATCTATGTTCGGGAGGCCGTATCGTATCGTGGATTATTTACTGCTGGCTGGCTGGTTTGGTGTGAGAGAAAAACACTGTTTCCGGCTGTAAATTTACGATCGTTTACGAGCAAACGAACAGGCTATTAGGGGGCGTTTAGTTCCCACCAAAATCTAAACTTTGGCACCATGAAAAGAAAATTCATCGTCACATCAAATTTGCGGTACATGCATAGGTACTAAATATTGACGAAATCAAAAACTAATTACACAGTTTGGTCGTACTTTGCGAGACGAACGTTTTGAGCCTAATTAGTTAACAATTGGACAATAATTCACAAATACAAACGAAACACTACAATGTGCTACAGTGCTGACACAGTGATTTTGGTTGTCCAAAATCGGGCAACTAAACAAGGGCTTAGTAAAAATGAGAGACCATTTTCTCAGGGACCTCCGATGTCTGGAGATTTGATGTCAGAAAAATTGCTAGCGATCTGAGGGAGACATGAACCTACTGTTTATGTTGCTTATCCATGACGGATCCATCAATGTAAAATGGACTGAGATATAAAGTAGGTGTAGGTGGACAGTGATGCCAAAGTATGATGTTCATCGGCTGCTATTAATCAGGCGGATGGGCTTGCTAATTATTGGGAGTAGATTAACGCCAAACCTACCTACACTTCATTCTCTTGGGGTCCATGGAGTGGATTAGTTGTTGCGTTATCATTATTGCTTTAAGCCTTCTGTGACTGTTTATTGTATGGACAATGGCCACAAAAGCTGGTTTCTGAAAGCAGTCTGGCTGGGATCGTAAACCTTGCTTATCGCTTGCTTGTAGCACCATTTTCCAGTTCATTTCTCCTGACTATGCACTAACAATTTACAGAAGAAACGGGATGAACAGCTGAAAAGTGATCGAACTGACAATGGCTGAAAGGTTGATTTCATGCGATCACGAGCTTTCCTCGATAGGGCAGGGCAGCTTTGCTGACCGGCCATCCCTTGAAATAGGAGCAACCGACCGGCCACCCCTTGAAATAGGAGCAAGCAGCCATGTAACATGGCATGGAGAACTCCAGCTTCTGGTCACATACTATGTCATATGTACAGGGCTTAAAAGCGTAATGATTCCATACCATACCTTCGGGGAGGCAGCTAAAATGAACAGGCAACCATGCATTGCTAACGGAATTGCCTCACCTAACAGTTCCACCTTTCAGTGGCAACTTTTCATAAAGGGGTACGCACTAGCAAAGATTCTTCCACCACATCAAAATCAACCAAACCAGTAGGGCAAAACGGCTGATGAGAAGCTTGGAATTCCAAGGTTAGAATAGAAATGGCACATGGTAAGCAACATGCGTAACCACCCTAGCAGACCTGAATTGACAAAGATCTGACTCTTAGCAGCCACAGTATCAGTTACAAAAAATATTCCAATTCATGCATTCAAGGGTTTAAGTATCATGGTGCCTCGAGCAGCTCCACCCTTAAGTGTTAATTCATTACCAACTAACCACAAACGTCTGCAACTCACCTTCACTTCTACACAAACGGCTGCAACTCACATTCCTGGATACTTCTGGTACATGGTCTAATCAATAATGTAAGAGTTCAACATCCTCGATTCAACTCAGCATTTTCCATGATGGCAACTTCACCTATAAAATTGAGAAAAAACAACTACTTTATGAACCAACAGAACAGGTCACAAGAAAGTCGCGATTAAAGAAACAAAAAAAAAATGTGGGATGTAACACCAAACTCTACTGACAGATAAAAGAACTCCAGCTGAAATCAGGGTCAACAGTCAGACAAACATTAGGTCAATAAAAATAACATGTGGCAGGCAATACCAAACTCTACTGACAGTAAACAAGTTATAGCTGAAATCATGGTCAATTGTTGTCAAGACTTGTATTGGAATTTTTCAAAACTAGGACAACTATAATGGAATGATGAATCTAATTAACCACTCCAGTGTTTGAAATTTTTGTCAAGACTTGTATTGGGATGCTGATCCAACTGTTGCTTTCTTTAAGATTGAATCATGGGCCACAAGGAATGATGTGCTATTGGACCACTCCAGTTGTTCATTATGGTAACATGTCACCATAGTATCATAACAGACATTGCCTTGAAACCCATTAACAAATTGACAATTGATTGATGGCTACTGCTAATGTAAATGAAGTTGGTTAGGATTATCAAATTTACAGAGTCCAATAGTCATTGGTAGCTGTTAATCTTCCACAAATATAATTGTTCAGAACTAGTACCAATTTAGAAATTTGTGAAAACAACCATTTTGTGCTAACACTATTCTATTAACTGAAACTGCAAGCTTCCAGGAAAGGATAGCTGCTAAATTCAGACAGAGGACTTGTAAACAAAAGAAGATAACTTCCATAATAGGAGTATTATCTTTAAAAAGAAGGCTCATTTTGGTATCTAGTTATCGATAACAATGTTGTAAAAGAGTGTTTCATACATGCAGAATGTTTTGGTAAATCCCATGATGTAGAATATGTAAGCTCATTTTCTTTTGCAAATGCTATTTCTATCCAAAATCATTGAATGCAAGTGAATCGTTTGAATTTGTAGCCAATGACAACACAGATACACATTACAAAATATAGAGCTCCCTTTCCAATAACAAAATTGACTTACCACTTACCAGATCATAATTCAACACTAAAAGATGGA